TGTTCTTCTTTCCACACACTTTTTGCGTGAGTGTCTCCAGACCCTTCCTCCACAGGTAGCGAAGGGGCGGGGCGAGACTAGATCCTAGTATTCTTTCTTTAAAGTTTCAGTGAGAATTGGTGTACCAAATAAGAAATCATTACTATTCTAAGTCCCAGCCAGACTGATTTCCATTACAATTAATACAATTAGCCTCTTCAGTAATTTCTATACCACTAGGTCTTCTTCTACAATGTATAAACATGTCACAGCATTTTATAAACTATGATACGTACCAAAAAATTTCTAGGATGAGTTTTAGCTTTAAAACTTTAGTTTCTGAGTAGTATTTGCTGGACAGAAAATCCACCATTTTAAATTTCTGCACTTTACACCACGCCTACATAACACCATAAAATTAACTCTTTGTTTACTCAATTTAACTTCAGCTTTTTGGAGGACGATACTACATGTACATGTAGGTTTTTTCCTACTCTTTTCTGCTCCTTTCTTCCTGCTGTCGTAAGGAATAGTAGCTCCAAGAGTGATACGTTTTATCCAGCCAGACATGGAAGCGTTAGCCAGGCTCAACCAAACCTCTACAATCCTTTCATGGAGGACTCCTACCTCAGACACTACCTCTCCTGTAGCCAAACGAGGTAACTCTAATTTTATTTCATGATTTTACCTTGCCAAGGAATATATACATGAATGTGTAAGGAGGATGTACCATTGTTGAAGGGTTACCGGCAAGGGGACCCAATAGATGGTCTTGTTGCCATTGGGTATGATAGCCGAAAGCACAATGATGGCAAACTAAATAGCTAGTAATCTTTTGCAAGTTCAGGTTGTGAAAGCTATTGGCCAAATAAAGCCAGCCATTTTGGACCATTATGTGTGTGGCGGTATGCTCAAATTAAAACCCACCAATCACTAAAAACTTAGCACCCCTCTACAATTACCAGCCATATGTTATTATGATTGAAGTACTGAGGCACTGTTATTAATGTTAATTTGTAGGTGACTCCACCAGTTGAGGCAGTTATTCTTGTTCTCTCCTTCATCTGGTCTCTACTCTTGTCCTCTTCCTATGACTGATGGAGGAGCTAGACTATAGTATGTTCAGGTTGACTTCTAACTAAATGAAACTTAAATAACTCAAAGGTCTTTAATCTAATCAATACCAAATTTACACACAGATATATTCTCAGCAATGCGCTTCATTTGATATATAGGACTAGTGGATAAGACTTTAGGAACTGCAGAAAGTATAAAAGCTGCGAGATCTAAGCACTGCCGCCACTTAGAATGCCACTGCCTACCATTATAATCACAACAGGAGGTGTGACCGGAAGTTAGAATAAATTGTTTAAAAT